AATAATCAAAATACCAAACATACAGAATAAGGAGAAAATGTTAAGAGCAGCAAAGGAAAAAGGTCAAGCAAAATATAAAGGCAAACCTATCAGAATCACACCTGACTTTTCCATGGAAACTCTGAAATCCAGAAGGTCCTGGATAAATATTCTACCTACACTAAGAGACCATGGATGCCAGCCCAGACTACTCTACCCAGCAAAGCCCTCAATCAATATAGATGGAGAAAACAATATATTCCACAACAAAACCAGATTCAAACAATACATATCCACCACTCCAGCCCTACAGATAGTTCTGGAAGGAAAACTACCCAAGGAAGTTAACTACACCCAGAAAAATATAGGCAATAGACAATCCCACTTTGCCAACAGCCAAAAGAAAAAAGGGATGGAAACCCATACATAATTTCACCACCACCACCAAATCCAAAACAAACAAGAATGACCAATCAATGGTCATTAATATCCATTAGCATTAATGGTCTTAACTCGCCTATAAAAAGACACAGATTAGCAGAATGGATAAGAAGACAGAATCCATCCTTCTGCTGCATACAAGAAACACACCTCAACCTCAAAGACAGACGGTACCTAAGAATTAAAGATTGGGGAAAGATTTTCCAATCAAATGGACCCAAGAAACTAGCTGGGGTAGCAATCCTAATATCCAACAAATTGGACTTTAAACTAAAATCAGTCAAAAGAGATGAAGGAGGTCACTTCCTACTCATCACAGGAGAAATCCATCAGGATAAAGTCTCAATTCTGGACTTTTATGCCCCAAATACAAAGGCATCCACGTTTGTGAAAGAAACATTATTAAAACTCAAATCACACATGAAACCTCACACATTTGTAGTGGGAGACTTCAACACCCCACTCTCACCACTGGACAGGAACACCAGACCGAAACTTAACAAAGAAACAAAGGAACTAATAGAAGTTAAGGCCCAGTTGGGCTTAACAGACATCTATACAACATTCCATCCGAACACAAAAGAACATACCTTCCTCTCAGTGCCACATGGAACCTTCTCTATAATCGACCACATACTTGGCAACATAGCAAACCTCAATAGGTACAAAAAAAAAATTAAAATAACCCCCTGTATCTTATCAGACCATTTAAAGTTAGAATTCAACAGCAACATGAATTGCAGAAAACCTACAAACTCATGGAAATTAAGTAACGCCCAATTGCACAATTTCTGGGTCCAGGAAGAAATACAAAAAGAAATTAAAGATTTCCTAGAATTCAATGAGAATGCGGACACAACATACCCAAACTTATGGGACACTTTGAAAGCAGTGCTAAGAGGAAAGTTCATAGCACTAAATGCCCACATGAAGAAACAGGAGAATAATCACACTAGAGAATTAACAGCATAACTGAAAGCTCTAGAACACAAAGAAGCCATTACACCCTGGAGGAGCAGATGCCAGGAAATAACCAAAA